GCAACCCGTTCGCTGTGTTGAGCGATGTTGATAGTATTTCTCTCATGTAATTGATGATTTTGTCCCAAGCGGGACTTTTTTGCTCTTTTAGCTAATTTTCATCAGCAGGGAGATATTGTTAAACCTAATTTGAGTCAATGTTTTAAATGCGATACGGTTCACATTTCCTCGAAGGTGGTAAGGGAGTTACGACTATAGGATTATTCCCACAATCACCCAGCTAGGACTATATCCGTCTTGTATGATATGTCCTCTGTTTCGTTGTGAAGGGACCATTAAACGAACGTACGTACATATCACTTGTTATAAAAGTTTGAATGATAAGATCTGAACAGCAAATATTCGAATAATAGAAACGTGACCCTAGTATGATGATGGATATTTGATACATCGGTGCATCGATAATCAATCAGCATATTGGTTGAAGAGAATAGTTATGATTAAAAAATATCAGAAAATATTTTTTTTAAACGAACAATATCGGGAAATCAACAACGCCAAAATTTTTTACCCAGAATTTAAGGTCGCCAAATGAAATAATCTGAATTTAAAACCATTTTGTCTACACAGGGCAGCTGTTTGTACTCATTGAGGGGCTAAGTTCATACATATCCACGTAATTGTTTAAGGTTTGTGATTGGCACCTACACATCTTTAAAACTCTCAAACTTGACATCCTCAAAGACTTTTTCAGAAATAAAATAATCGTACAAATGCATAAATATTTATTATTAGGATCAACTCGAACACAACTCATCCAAGTGCCTTGGAACGATATATCTTGTAGTTACTAACTTAACATGGTGATGCTGTTAAAATTCAGATTACAAATATGGACCTAAAATATGACGATTTCGAATCATGTTCCCTTACATGTTGTCTAGGAGGGCATCATAGTCCTACATCACCCTGAGATTGAAAATGCAACAGCATAGATCACATGCATTGATTTAAAGTGTTTACATCACTAATTAAACTGCTTCCTATTCTTGTAATAGGATCAATATTTGATCATTGAAAACATAATGTTTTAAAGACGTTTAGATATAATTAGACGTGCTCGCAAATGGTTATATTAAACAAAACATGTCCCTAAAATAACGGTTTCAGTAGCTTCGCTAGAGGTTCGGATACCGACTACCATATACATGTATAGAAGATTATAGTAAGGATGTCAACCACGTCATAAAACTGTTGCAGATGAAAACGTCTAAATTTTATTACCCCCATAAAGTGACTCAATTAACATTTTCAAACGACTGTCTATTGAGGGATGTAACGGACACGCCCTATTCACGTTGTCTGTAGCCTGTCTGGCGATGGGCTCCCGATTATTGCCGATTATCTCATTATTGCATTGTTTTCTTTACTTCACTGAGCACTATATTCCCGTCGTGACCCAAAACGTGTTTGTAAGCTTGTTTATTTGGTAACGGTACGGTCAACCGTGACGTCCTTATACCTATCAAGTACCTGATTTAACTACAGTAGTGGTGTTAGGGCGGCAGTGAATTAGTGTAGATATTGTAGACAGCGGTCATAAAGATTATTCCATGACACGATGAGTTTTGCATAGCTCTTTCCTCCGGCCGGAGACATATACCATGTTTATTTCCGAAATCCTTATTGAGATATTTAGGTTGTGTTTGTATTCTTTCAATCCCGACATCTTAATAGTTTCATATGTGATTTAAATGAACAAATGATAAGCTCAGAATGCACATTGACTTAAATAGGCAAAATCATTTGAAATTCTTCTGAACCTATAGTGATTTGAAATAGAATGAAATTAGATCATTAGAATGTTAGGTCTAATCGAGACACGTCAGTAGAGAGATGAATAACAATACTTGCCATGTAACTATATTTTATATATTAGTGTTTGCTGTACGTGCGAGGGTTGGAAGTTAATAATGATACCACAAAGTTGCGTGCTGATATTGACTGGGTACCATTGATTGATAGTGAACGTCGAGTGGAACACTAAGTGATTGCATATGACTATACCGACAGAGGCTTTGTGTAGTTGACAGATCTTCCTCACTGGGTGGTATGTAAGCGTTATTACACATTATCCGCTCAGATCGCGAGGTAAACATATTTGATTTTCACAATGCAGGACATATACAATAAGGCTACATTACGGCATGTGACCTCAATACGATTTTACTGGCTACGGTCGCTTGAAAGATCCGTATTTTATCTGTATGTAATTTACAGAAAATACACAGGTACAAATAGGTTTCATGTTTAAGAACCTTTATTTACCAATATTTAAATAGCTATAAGTAAACAGGAAACATTGCATTTTTTATATCCCGTTGTATATTAAACGTCCTGTGGTATATGCAAGGTATGTTTATGAAGCTATACCAGTTATGCAATCTAAACGAATACATCAACAGCTTATAGGTTTGGTTTTATCAACAATAACCTGTGAAACTTTCCTGTTTTGAAATTACAAATTAATTATAGCAGTGTCCAATGAGACTAAGAACAAACACTCAGTGTATATCTACTCATAAGCGGGCGAACCATGGTGTCCTTATGAAGACACGACTGCCAGTATTTACCGTTGGTTCCTTAGAGTGAATGTACGCAAAGGTTTAATGTATACAGTGCCATAGCCAGCCGGGGGATCCTCCTGGATTTTTTATAGAAAACATTTTTCCTTGTGGAAGTTAACTTGAATAATAAATTAATAATCTTATTTGCCCCCCCCCCCCCCCCCCCCCCCCCCCCCCCCCTCCCCCCCCTGTCAAAAACAGTTAACTACGGCCTACGGACTGATAGTTTATTTGAATCTTACCTTATTCAAAACATAAAGATAAGATACAAAGAGTGAGAAATATAACGAAGTAAACACCGCATGGCCGGTCCAGGACATGCATGTCTATGTGATTATACTTTTAAATGACTATATTTGACTTTTATCACAAAATATATATCTGTATGTTTTATCTTAGCAGTGTGCTCGAGGAATAGAAGATGTTAAACCATTCATCTCTGTCGAGCATGAGGCATAAGGGACACGTGTACCTGCAACAATGGCATATTAGTAAACTTTTTTTAATGTATATAATCTCTTTTTTTACAAAAGTACTACCATTTTAGATGATGTTTACGCGTTTATTCTCATCTTGCTCGTGGTACCAGAAGTAGCATACCGATGTAGTATCCTGGTGATGCTTTTACTGCGAGTTAAAGTACTACCAGTTGTTCTGGGAAATATATACACACAGACACACATATTTTCCACGATGCATAAAGGTCACACTTTCCCCTTGCTGCAGCTTTTGAATTTGAGAAGTCCTTATTGACAACTGCATGAATAATATACGGAAAATACTCTCTACAAAGTATTAGCGGAATAACATGACAATATGAATGTATTCGATAAGAGACGACAAAAGTCAAATTAACGAAAAAAATTGTTTTCGTCACTCAGGAAATGTTTTTCCTAATTATTACTAACCCCTTGGTAGAAAGAATAATGAACAATCAATATAATTGTTCAGTCATAAAATTAGTTGCTTTAAATATTCATAAGTTTATACCCATGTTATATATTTGTATAATTAGCAGCATGAAATAAGCTTGTATCCCAATGCACGCTGGTCCCGAAGGATCCCATTACATATCGGGCAATCAGGAAATCTATATTGCAGAATATAATGTCAGCAATATAATAATGTCATACGACAACTTATCGCTACTTTGAACATTTCAGTTGTGAAAAACTGGCTATACAAACTATTTTTTCCGATTGAAAGTTTAAAGTATTGAAAGTTATAGAAGATTTGAAATGGTGCTCGAAATTAGTTAATGTCAATTTAAAGTTACCTATATTTACAAACAGATTAATGATACGACAATAAACAAAGAATGACAACAAGAAAGCCATAAACTTGTCTACGGCACATAAAGAGACGATTTCTTCACTCCCGCTCTTTGTTTAGAGATTAGCAGTGACTCCATGTAATCCTCTTTATAACCTTTCAATAATACAGATTAACCAAGTTTTACAGCATGCTCTAGATACGGAATATTCTGCGAATAATTTACTGTTTCCAACGAAAATCCAGTTATAATCGTAGGAGAAGGAGATTAACTGAAATGGTTTTCTTTCATTTCATTTTCTGTGTGAGCGAGTCTCATCTTACGAGGGTAGCGAAGGTCAGCGACAATAGAGTGTCTATGAAGCGGTGACATTTGGGCGGCATTTATCAATGATATCGGGTATCACGACACGGGTTCGGCGAAGCGTGAACCGTAAGTCAATTTGTAGCGTCGTCACGGTCCAACTACAAACACATAACAAAGCGATCGTCACACCGTGGTTCTCGCGACAAGGGTACAGAGTTGTTCAAATTCATCGACACGAGTTAAAGTGTTGTTTCTATTAAATGTTGTTGTTTATCGTAATAAATAACGTGGCACGCGCGACAGGGACAGTTGTGAATAGCACGAGACAATTGGAACTCGTCTATTTCAGCAAGCGTTGTAAATATCAACAATAGACCACTCTCGCACCATCTGTCATTGACGAGCTCGAGTCGGAGAGATCGACCGTGTTCTTTGGTGTTGGGCGACATTGTAAACAATTTTTCCTTCATTAAAGACCTCTGGGTTTGCTTTGTGTAGATTAATCTCATCTTTGGTCAGGAGAATCAACGATATGAATTTGTAAGAAATTGCCAGCGTCAATATTAGCCATATGCTGACCTGAATAAATACGTGATGTGAATATAATTTGAAAACTATATTCTTTTGCTGCAAAGCTGAAGACAAGATGACGAATATTTTGATCGGAAAGAAATATTTCAATATTTGCATCGTTTTAATGGTGAGGGGAAGGATTCCGACAGTAAAATTTGTCGTTTTCGCCCTTCGTCAATACTGAACAGGAGGCGCGGACTTGCTTGTCAATTTCACGAGCCACGTGGTGTAAACGAAACATAAACAAAACGTGAGCCGCGCGTGTCGGCAAGCCCGCGCTTCATGTATGTGGGTCTTTTAACTGTCGACGGCAGTTGGAGGTCCCCCGCTACTGACAGTGAACGCTGAGCGCCGAGAGATAGCAGAGGTTACTACCATTTCAATTTCAATTACAGCGTGTGACTCTGCGCTAGTATGATAATATGAAAATAGCACCAATTCGTCGAAATTAACAATGACCTTTGGCGGTATCTGATTGGCCCGCTGCTTCGCTCGTCCACTCCCCTACGGCGCATGGGCGGTAATCCCGGTCTCATCAGGCAAGCGGCTCACGCGATTGGCTAATCGAGCCCCATCGCTGGTCGTGCTCTCCTCCCACGGGATCGCGATAGTCCATTGGGATGCCAGGGTAACATCCAACTGAAGAAAGCAACAAAAGCCGATCTCGAGAGATTTTTAGCCAGAATTGGCGGTAGCACTCAGAGGAGTCTATCTAACTTGGTGGTCAATGGGTGATGTTTGGTGATAGAGTGACGGGAGTGGAGAGAGATGCGTTATGGACTAAAGGCGAGAACAGTTAGACTCTCACAGGATCTTGTGTCGTCAATTACTTCTTCACCACTGGCAGCGTACCTCCGTCCTAGAATCTACCTCTCATAGTCACCGACAGGCACTTGGGATTACGGCGTAAAACTACATGTGATTTTATTCGCGTGTGAATGCATGTGCGTGTGCTAATTCTGACGTGTGATTGTCAACGTACGCCCGACCTGGCAAACTTTAATGTTCGACTACCCAGAGGGTTCCAACATATCCTCCTCTAATACTTCCCCCATGAAAGAAGAGAGTACCCACCCTTCTCAAACAACACTGACACCCGTAAGAAACTGGATGCAGCCGACCGTCGTAGACCAGGGTGGCAGGTACGTGCTTATTCCCTCGCCCTCCTTCCTCTTCCCGACCCCGGGGACTAGCCTCCCTTCGGGGGCACTCATTCCCGTGGACACTGATAATACCTCCATTCCCCGCAGACCAATCCGTTTTGTAATACATCTCATATAATTTCGATTTCGTGATCACGGAAAAATCACTCTATTCCCAAATCGGCCTTATTTTACGCCTGTCTCTGCTGGCTCTAATGTTTGTTTTGTGCGTTATTATTACAGTGCCGGACTCGGCCGGGCTCACTTCGAAAAACAGCCACCCAGCAATCTCAGGAAGAGTAACTTCTTCCATTTTGTCCTCGCGTTGTACGATCGGCAAGGACAACCCGTGGAAGTCGAAAGGACTGCTTTTATAGACTTCGTGGAAAAAGATCAGGTAAGTCCATCCGTCATCTGTTTTTGTAATCATCATCACGCTCGTGTCATTTTAAACGTATCAATTTCAGTAGCAGTGAATGAACGTCTTACATAGAACCCTGTTTGATGTTATTTTTTATATTATTTTCAGGAATCCGAAGGACAAAAAACTAACAATGGAATTCACTATAGGATTCAATTGCTTTTCGCCAACGGTAAGTCCTCATTTCTCTTATATTACAAACACCACAGCACCAGCTTACAGACTGGCTTCCTGGGATCGGTTGTCCTAACCCCTGTTCCTTTATCTAAGTGACACAATACATAAAAATGATATACCGATATACGGCCCGCTTTCACTGGCTTTTTTATAAATAATAAATATCCCGATTATTATCAATTTTCTTGGTGAAATAAACCGTTTTTAGTCTTTATGTCAATATATTATCTTAATATCGAAAAATAAAGGGTAGCATATGTCACGGCGATTCAAGGTGCCCAAATAACACTGGCTACACGTTGAAGCTCATTACTACAAGCAAGGTTTTCTTCCTTGCCATATAGCCCTTTATCATCTGTTTCAATGGACGTATTAATTATTTAAACTTTCACAAAAATGGCCTGCCAGTCAATCAATTTGCGTTTCAGTGTTTTTCTTTAGCCCGACATTGTAGAATTGGCTTAGGCCTACTCTGCAAGCATGTTAAAAATGTATAAGCTCCGCGTAAAAATGAAAGTCTTTCATGACAATATTTTCCCTTTGCAAAAGAGTTTGTAGGTAGCATCTGTATTATTTGTCATGGTTCAGCTGTAGACTTATTCAAATGGAAAATGTCGTTATTTCAACATATAATCACAACGGCATAGTTTCAACAATATGTCACAGATTCAAAGAACGACTGCTCTTTGGGGGACTATGGTTCTCTCTGGCCCAGACCGTTCTGTCAATTAGTCTATGTTTTTAATGTAAACACAAACCGCTTCGAGCACGTGTCATTATCAAACACATAATAAGATCTATTTTCCACCAAGTGTGAAACGACATTGTAAAAACATTGTGAATGTAAATGAAACTGATCAATCAATTATTTCATATTTTCTTTGATAAAACTTGTCTCATCAATCAGCCAATAATTCCAAGAATCTTTCACTATATGCATCCTCTACTTCATCACATTCATGGGCCATTGCTTCGGGGGCTTCTAAACAATTATACTTTGCTATTATCTTAAGTAGTTGACTCCTAGACAACGAATTAAGTCTTCTGTTAAAGTACAGATAGCAGTTTGAGGGATGTCAATTTCAATCTTAACGTTGTCAATTTCACATGGAAATTGACACCCTTTGAAAAGTATAAAGTTGGTTCACGTATATGTTATTGAAACTAACATCAAGCTAACTGAGACCCCTATTAAGACCCTTTAGAATCGGATGGAAGACCTACGGTCTCATAAATAAAACCGACTGTTCAAGCATCGATACACATGCTTGCTTCAAAGCTGTCAAATTATGCTTAGTGTCATCTTTACGCTTAGTCGAATTTGAGCTGAATATTTTATGAGAAATGCCACTGTCATCAATTCAATTTTCTACAAATGGATTTGTCTACAACGCATTCTCAGACATGACGTTTGTTTGCATTTACCGATAACTACATTGTGTTAAAAGACACTAAAAGATTAGGTAAATGACCTCAAATAAACACCAAACGGTCGTCTCCATGATAATGTATCATATATGTACCATATATGTACCATGCTATTTTACCGTATAATTGCTGTGTGCTCGTTTGCATCGCTTTGATTTGAAATATTTATACGCTTTTATCAATATTAAGATATAATTGCAGCATGAAACTCGTAACTTGTAATTGAATATTGTTAACAATTCCGTGATATACTTCATTCAGGTTTTTAAAACTAGAAATGTCAGTTGTATGTATATCCCATGTGGTTATATACACCAGCCCAAAGAACAAAGCCTACTGTTTAAGAAAATAACAGTTCATACACGTTATAGTTAAGACTGATAAAATCTCAATTTATTTAATATTCATCTCCGTGAAAAACGCCCACCAGGTCTCGGGTATTTACAGTATCGGGGTCTTAATAGTCATGTAAGTTAGGGAAAGAATACAAGCAATATGCGATCAACAGTTCATCGATGAGAGTGGATTTAGAAGATTTACTCGGTAAGGTTTAAACTACCTTACAAGGAATTGGTGATGAAATTGCGTTTAAACTTGTCAATAATGATATTATTTTTATAATGTTCATCTCATTTAAATTTGTCAATAATTTTACTATCATCATTTTAACTTGTCAGTATTGTCCGTTTTTTCATACTGTGAATTTCATTATTTGTATCATGTGTTTGGCACACTGGACAATGAGATCACATGAACAGCGAGTAGATAAAGTATAAATGCGGGGAACTTTACAAAGTTTACAATACCATACCGGCTTGGCGGTGTTGATAACATTAACGTTGTTAATTTCTGTTGTTTATGTTTGAATCAAGCTGCGTGACTTGCCATGTTTGAAACATACATAATAAATACATACACATTACCCGCCCCCCGGTCTGTCGATAAAAGTTCCGCTTGAGTTTAAATTACAATGGTGACAATAGTCGTGTCGATTGCACTAAGTTGTTAATTTCTGTTGTTCTTTTCATCTGCGACGGGACGGACCATCTGTTCGTTATATGCGATAATTAATTGCATCTACATTTGCTGCTCGTGTTAATTTCAGCTGTACACTGACTGAAAATTGTATCGGAAACTCGGAGACCCATGCAGTTTTCAATAACTTTTAAGGCTTAAGCGGGGTGTCATCAATCCGCTTGATTGATAGTATGTATTCGAAAATGCCGAGGGCTATATAACGGTAAAGAGATGCCCAGAATCCAACACATGGCAAACTCTGACTCCCTAACCTGCTGTACTTAAATACATCGTTTATTGTACGTTTTGTAAGTGCCAGCTAACATACGTCGTATGCTGACTTAAACATGTTGACGAGGAGATTGAATTAATTCAATGCCAGAATTAATATATTTACAGCCATGATCAGATCAGGGTAGACATATATTGTAGCACTTATTGGAATATGAAACAGATGAATAAAAGCTGTATAATCACTTCGCAAATAAAAGCATTAATTCAAGAACTCCTTTAATTAATTAAAAGGACTGCCAGAGAAATCATACGCAAAGGTCGTATAGCGAAATCTGGAAAAGAAATCGTTGTAGATTATTCTGATGGCTATTGTGACAAATTATTTGTTGTTAAATAACTAGTTAGATGTTGATGGTTGTTAATAACGATCCAGACTACAGCTACACCGCACGAATATCCTCTCTGCACTTTCAAACACAAAAAAACACAACCCGAATGCAAGAAACAAACCAGCTAATTCTATTTATTTTGTTTTTATTTCAGGCGTGCGACAGGAGCAAGATTTGTATGTCCGTCTTATTGACTCCGTCTCAAAACAGGTAAGACTGTTACCATGGTAACCAGTGCTAACAAACTCTATTTCGAGTCTTTTGTCTCCAAATACGAATTTTGGACTTGTGTAGTCCATGCACGTTTTATCTGCTCGGAGTTGAATCGCCTTGTTGGGCTCGGAGCTGTAATTTTCTGCTCTTTCTTCTTGCATTGACTGTGAGTGGCCAGGGGGAGGGGCTCGCGCTCTTTGTGAGAGGGGGGTGGGAGGAGGCGTTAGATTAAAAACTAAATTTGTCTCACGTCCCCTCTGAGGTCAGTTCCTCCCTGGGGAATTGTAAACGAGGTTTGCGATAATACACTTTCATTGAGATGTAACCGAATAAAACTGTAGGGAATATTTGTTTATTTGCATTTTTTATTTGTTTCGTTTCGGATATTATCGGGGAATAATAGATACTGTTTACAGCATGCCACGCTTTAGCATAAGAACAGAAAAAAACAACAGCATGACATTATTACACAAAGATCTCATCTGTGAAATGAGTCTCCAGTAAATTAGAAATCCCAGGAGCGCGCGCCAAGCCATCTTAACCACATGTAGACAGTAAGGCTGGGCTGGTCCAGTTCACTACACCTTTTCCTTGCCCAGATGAAGGACCACATGCAAACTCGCAATTTATTGATTCTAACAAACACTCGAATATCGTACCTGTCTGGACCTTACCACATTCCAAAAAAACAAAACAATATGTGTCATTAGAAAGCCGTTATAATATTTCACGGAGTCGAATGAAGTCTTCCGTAATAGCTGTTGCTTTTAGTAAGTATGATCATTACGGAAAGACGTCGCGGAAAACACAAACGGAAAAGGGAATTCGATTGGTTGTACGGTTAAGTATTGTGAAGGCTTCACGCATGAGAGTAATCTTCGTCCCATGAGATAAGAATGGCAAATAATTAAAACAATCTAGAAGACGCCAAATCAATGAGCATTCTACAACGCCCTAGAGACGGGCCCTGGTGACTACCATAGATCCGCACAATGGCAGAATATTAAACTGGATTGTAGCTTGTATTTAAAACTGACAAGGAGAGGCGTTGGGCTCTTGGGTATTTACGCTCTGAGCGACCTGTTTACTTATTAAAGTATCTTCTTTATGACGTTAAGTCGTGTTTGTATTCGTATTTAAACCTTAAAATATAAACAACAAATATACGTTTAAGAACAGTTTATTCCCCAAAGTCCTCGTGATTTTCAATGCGTTTTGTAAGTGAACGAAATCCCGTTTCGTTTCATTTATGTTTCGATTCCAAAATGTGAGAAAATCGCTTTGACCTTTTAGTGTCAACCGGGCACTGTTTCCCGTTCACAGGATTCATTGAAATGAATTCCCAGGGATGTTTTGATTCACTGATAGCTTTCGTCTGGTGCAGGCGTTAGGACGATACGTTTGGCTTTAGAGGAAACCAATAAACAAGAATGTTTATGTAAGGAGCGTATTTGGAAAACACCAATTTAGGCATCGGCCCGTCAACTGTTAATGGTGGTCTTATTTTCATTGTGTAGAACTGCTGCGTGATTAGGCCCTCACGGTTGAATGTAAACACTTTTTCCCCACTCCCAAGTGAGGCCGACACGTACAAGGGGAGATTACTCAATAGCTTAGTCGATGTTCACACTGACCCACAGTGTGTTGGCCTGTTTTGCTCATTCAATCACACCCTGACTTTAAATGATCAAATAAGTTGTGTTTTTCTAATGCATGGTTAAAGAAATAAACTATTTTTTCTTCTGCTGCATCACACGTCACACGTGTTGTCAAGTCTATTAAAGTTGTATCCTATGAAATTTCGTAAAATTTTTCACACTGATTGAAAGCGGCTGAATTGATTAACGTTGAATGAAGCAATTCGCAACTTACGCGACATTTGCTTGGTTGAATTAAAGGGAGAAATAGGTTTAATTTTATATAAGTTTATGTAACCAATAATTATATTTAAACACCTTGAATTCTAGAGAACCCGACATTCTCATTCACCATAACGATAGAGTAATATTTTCAATATATTTTTTAGAATGTTTACTTTATGATAAATAAGAAGCAAATTTTTTTACAAAAAATAACATGACCTTAGTCCTCCTCCCACCCGTAACCCTATCCCCGCCCTACCCGACCACACCCCACCACACCCAATCCTTCGATCTGTTTACCGCAAAACACATATGGATACTGTTTATTAGTGTTATTATGAATCACATCATGAATAATTATTTCTTTTCTTACAGGCAATCATTTATGAAGGCCAGGATAAAAACCCAGAAATGTGCAGAGTTTTACTTACACACGAAGTGATGTGCAGGTAATTATGTTAGCACATACAAAACTGATTTCAACTGGTCCTAAAACCGGACCGCTGCAAAACACATCGTGTCTCGTCAATGTTTATAATTCATACAGAGGAGTATTATATACAACCGTTCATGTGATACCATATCTAGTTAAAATGACATACACATGTTTACGCTTATCTAGATATTTTGATAAAACACCTGAATAATTTATATAGATAGTGCAGGATATCTTGTACAGAGTACAATCGATAGCTGTTGAGTACCATGTGATACCATGGAAGCTCTACCAGACTCAGGGTCAAGTTGCACGCTGCGCTGGCAGATGAAGTCAGAATTGAACCGCTAATGAAATAAGTACATTTGTTAACTTCTATTGTTACACTTTTTAGAAAGAGTGAATAAGATGATAAAGAATAAACACGTATGAACTGGTAAGACAAAAGCCATAATAAGCGCGTGTTTTTTGTGTTCCCTCGTATATGGTTCACTAACATTAAGTGTTAACTTTTATCAATTATTTTTTTCATTTATCTATGGGTTGTTTAATGCCGCACTCAGCAATATTTTAGCTATATTGACGGCGGCCTGTAAATAATCGAATTTGGACCATGAAATCCAGTGATTGACATCATGAGCATCGATACACGCAATTGGGATACAATGACATGCAAGAACCACGTAAGCGTGCCTGAGCACCCAATGGCGCTTGTCGCCTCTTGCGACAAGCATGGGTTACTGAAGATCAATTTTACCCCGGAATTTCACGGCTTTTACCTCTTTTACCATGTTAAGACATCAAATGAGAACAGGCTACACATAGTGTACTGAGTGTCTTGAAACGTAACACAAACGTTGTTGTTCGAGCGTATTATTTTATTAAAAACCGTTCTAATAGTGTACCAAAGTTTCTGTGTTGTAAATGTATTTTTTTAATCTTCTAGCCGATGTTGCGACAAGAAAAGTTGTGGAAATCGAAATGAGACCCCATCTGATCCGGTTATCATTGACAGGTAAGGAGACGTTTATTGTGAATTGAGTCAGTATCTTATCGGCCTTCAACCATGGTTGAACACCATCTGATCCCTAGTACACATCGTTATCAAACTATATTTCAAAACACCGTCATCAACGACTCCATCCACCCCTACCTACACACAGACACGACTGCTTTGTTACCACACATGGTGGCTTGTTACATCCATGATTAACTTCAACTGGAACATTCCGATGAACTTCATCCTCTGGGTCATCCTCCGGCATCTTCAGATGACTATCGAACCATTTCTACTGGGTTCGATCCTGGCATGCATTGTGTGTTCACGTGCCGTGATTGACCCGATGAGCTTGTGGCAAGTATCAGAGCTGTCCCATTGTTCGAGTCGCGAGTGGGGCACGTGCCCCCATCCCCTTCCCATTGTCCGCCATCGTGTCTCAATCTCCCCCTTTTCTGTTTCATCGCCATCCTTACTGATATCCCTAACGCCTCAAAGCAGATTAAAAGTCATTCGTTGATGTGCAATTTTGAAACTTGAACTATTTTCATGGTGTTTTATATGTACACCTATAAAGAGACCCCCTCCCCGATCCCCCTCCCGGGGCAGCGTTCGTGTGACAGGTGGCCTGCAAACCCAGAACACTGGGTAGTCTACCGCCTATGGATCCTGGTACTTCATTTGTCACACTCAGTATTAAACTACAGCCGGGACTGTCAGTTACACCTTCCCTAATTTCTCCACGATGCAAGGCCATTAATTGCACGTTGACCAGCACAAAAGATCGGCGTTAAGATAACCAGATTTTCCAATGGCTAGCCAACTGTATGCGATGCTCAAAACAGTTGGGAGTCTGAAGGCTTGGATATTTCAAGTGAGCAATTGTAGCCCCCTTGGAAAAGTCGATCTCTACCATGACAATCCGAGCCTATCTATAATAATTAAACTGCCCCATTGACATTCGTCATTTGATGGCAGCAACTTGAATTCTCATATTTCTATTGTCTTCGCTTGAATGGCCCTATTTCTGAAGAACGGGATTAAGGGAAGTCTGTCGCTGAATCATGATAAATTGTACCTCCGTCTTGATTATACATCATTTATACCTTCATGTTAAGAATGACATAAGATTTAAGACTTTTTGAAAAGTTTGATTTATTACATCGTACTGTCTCACCATAAGACCGCACAGCTGTTTAATCAATATCATATTCATATGTTAACTATGTTACTACTGTCAGACGTAAAAGTGGGATGCATTTCAAGATAAATGATATATGGCAGTTTTTTTTTGTAATAAAAGTATTAGTACCTTCGATATTATGGATACGTAATAAAACATAACGGAGATATGTAATTGATGGTTAAAAAAATGTTTAATTAAAAATACAAGCCGTTTTCCTTCTGTATTATGAAGAATGATGGTGTCAGCTGATTTGAACTGTACATTTAAATAGCTTGTAATCAACCCTATAAAACAAAAAGTCTTTTCATAGTTTAATATCATTTGGTTCAACTGGTACCAACGTGGTACCATTGAACACTATGGACTGTCCAAGTGAATCTTTATGATAATATTCTCTTACATGGGTTCTCCGGACTATTCAGTGCACTGCAACTAACCTAGGCCTTTAAGGACAGTGCCAGTATTGAAACAGGTGGGCAGAGGTCAGTGTGGTGTGGTCATGGTATCCCTTACAGCCACTTCCTCTCTCTGATAATAATTAAACTGAAATATGTTGACCATGCGCACCAGTCGGACAGTGGCTGTGACCGCTTGACCATTCCAACCGTGTAGCACAGTACATACATAGGTACCGTGTCTTGTACACAATCCCCCAGGAGTTCTGTGGATACTCATGCAGGGAATCGTAGATAAATCTGTTTACTTAATTCTTGAACAGACATTCTGCCATTTTAAAGCTGTCATAGTAACTTGTGTAATATGTCTAATGTAGACTGTATCATATCCAAGATCGTATATAGAGGTATAGTTGTATGACACAAACAATTATGTTTGTTATTTTTGTAAGATGTGGTATTATCTATGTACCGTAAGTGCGGGTATAAATCTAATGGTTGTCATTTTTGGATCTTTTTCGCAGCCAACAGTCATCTTGAGTCCTTATCATGTCAGTTTGGTTTTATTTCGGAACCAATAATTTTGTCAAGTACGCATATTTCCAAATACGCTGTTATCAGCACATACGTATATGTACATATTTTGAGTTAGGTTTTGTCTCCACAAGAGGGGTGGTGGGTGTTAAGAAAATCACGTAACCAGAGTATGTGTTTATTGATGTAAAGTGGCATATACAGAACAATAGTCTTCTTCCTGCTCGAACACGTATACCTCGAACGATTTACTGTGAACCGATGTCGAATGTTCAATCCACATCCGTTTGTTTTGGAGTTTTACCTTCACATTCCTGATATATCGAAACTCGTGATTTCCCGAACTAGCGCTAGTTTCCACCTGTAACCATTCTATTCCGATTCAAACTTCGAGACAAAGGTAGTAAACCGAATTAGATCGAGAAGCCCATCATTCCCACCAGTCTTCTCCGTCCGCTATACCAACAAGCGACTTGACAGCAGTGGCAGTTTGATTTTGCTTGGCGTCATCCAAGTTTGATGAGGGCAACACGGCAAGGTGTCAACACTACTGCGTAGGTTACCCTGTGCCATCTTCCTTCATCTTACCACCAACATCACACCTGCCTCCGAAGCCGAGGTTTTCAATAAACAAGGCACTCGTTGTCTTGTTCCTAATCTAGTTTCTCCCCCTCGCCTTCCAAACATTAACACTGAATTAAACTCGGAAGATCGGCGTTCCTGACCGTGTAATCTCACAACAGGACGCTCTCGCTTTGAGGGCCAAGAGACCGGAGACTTGGACAAATCTCGGTTTGAAGGTAAACTGCTTCGACAAAATTTGATTTGGTCATCTTGTCTTGATGTGGCAGTTACTGAGTGGCACACGACGAGCCCGTGCAGACAGGCTAATGGTGAAGGGGATTATTGCCCAGCGATGGCTCACTTCAACACCAGTTCATCTTAGCATCGGCTTAACACAGGCTTCAGAAACACTTGAGAACCCTCATGGTCTGCGTTCGATGAGCTTTGATTATCTAATGGGGAAAATATTTACGTTGCTCTATGGCTTGACGGTGTTAGGTGGTTCTGGCCGGACGGTGCCACGTGCAGCACGAGCTTCTCGCGTGGTCGGGCTGCCAGAGGTGGCTATTTATGAAATTGTAACGTATTCCATAAAGGTTATTAAGATGGGGGTCGGTTGAAGTGATAATTTGTCCTGTTATCACAGAGCTGCGTCTAGGGATTCGTGACTAGGGAAGGTCGACCCAGTTGCAGGAGTCGTGGTTCAGGATGACGCGTCGATAAAGCTAATCACACTACTTGGACTAATCCTTAACATGTGCTGTTGTTCAGCCATTGCTTAAGATCGGAATCATTTGTTAACGACAGAAGATGGGTTAGTGGGTAAATCTGCTGATGAAGACGTTTATTTCTTTTTTTTAAAATGCACATTTAGCAGATTCCAACACTGTCATCGAGAATACATATCGAATAATGTTTTTCATAAGTTTAAATCAATGTCTGTACACTATGTATCATAGTCCAATACTTGGTTTTGACATAGACCTAATAATAATAATAATAATAATAATAATAATCTTTAAGTGGCATTTAGAAGCTGCGTTATCATTACTGAAAGAATTAATTTAGTCAACCCTCTCTTCAATAATAATAATTATACATATATTCTTTAGCGTATTCAAGCCTAGCATATGGGAATATGTTGGTGCCCGAACCGACTTCACATACCGTTTTGTTCGGGTGACTCTCACACTAATATATAGAGCTATTCTAACCGTTAATTAGCGCACGTGACGACTAGATAGCCTGATTGACAAGCACTGACACATAATGCTCTCACTAGAAAGACCAGATCTTCTCAATTCAAAGGCAGAGGAAGATTTCTGTTGTTCGGGATCACATTACCTCCGTAATTGTCTTCTAAATTGTCCTCCACAGCCGAGAGAAAGACTAATTTCTTTATTGGGAGATATCTGCCGGCTGATTTGCGCTCGGAAGGATTTTATATGCTACCAAGACGAGTGATTTTATCACAAGCCGGCATCGAGAGTATCTCTCACTCTCCTGGACCTGGATTGAGAGTATTGGCGTTTGTTGATGTATTTAGAAGCATGCGGTTGTATTCTGTCACTGTTATAAATTCCAGCTTGTTCTAACATACGTTTTTGCCAATTTATTCTTCATCGGGAGTTCCTTTATAGAACGGCATTTCTATAATAACCTGGGCATGGTTTTGCATAGGCATGTTGTATGATGATATTCATATGGACATATTTGTACATAGGAAATACGCGGATTGACCACGTTAAATATCAAACAAGATATGTTGTTTATTTTGTTACGGGGATGATGAAGCCATATTTGTCAAAAGCCGTACATCCACACTTTCCCAAGTGTTGATGATGCAGAACAGAGGAATGTAACCTAATCATAATCACACATATGCTTTATCTAGTAGGTATATTAATTTATGACCTCCAAACGTTTCTTGTAGTCACTTAATGAAACAATATAGCTCTGAAGATAGGATAAATATATTCATTTAAATGTTAAGTACCGAGGCCAGGCTGCAAAGGCTATCACACGACAACCTCCCGAGTTTAACAGACGAGCTCATTCCATCGTGGGATCGAACGCTGGGGTGAGACTCTTTTCTACGACCAATATGGCCTAAAATGTCAAATGAATTTATTGGCCAGACCAGATGCTTGTGAGGGAGATTGGCGTTTCTTTGTTAAGCTTGTCTTGGGCAGGAAAGTGGGAAAAATCGAGTCGGAAGCCGAGAGATGAATATTTCAAGACTAGAACTAGTAAGGTTGAATCTGTGGGAAGATGCTTCGTCTGCCAAAGGTTTGACAATTTATTGTCCGCCTGACGCGGTGTTGCCGTCAAGGAGAGAT